TATAATATATTAAAATATTATATATAATTATATTAATATATTACAATAATATAATAATATATTTATATTATATATTATAATAATATGTTTATTTATTATTATTATATTTATTATATTAATAATAATTAATCTATTATTATTATATTATATTATAATTAACATAGTATAAATAAAAATTATAATGTATTATTTAATATGTAATTTTATAATAAATTAAATATTTTAATTCTCTAATAAATGAAAAATAAATTATATCTTTGTTAAACGAATGATAAATCAAATTAGAACTAAATGTAATATAACTATTATTATTTGAAACGAGTTTACATTTATAATCGTTATCGGAAGTATTAAACTAGTTTGATCATAAATGCTTAGACAGGTAGCATAGACATAGGATTAGTCAATAGATTTAATCTCTTTCGAATGTTTCGTATGAATGGATTGTTCGTAGAATCGAATATGTAAAGCAAAGCAAAGAAGTTGGATACTAACTCACAATCAGTGGTGGTCAACACTGTTCGATTGCTATCATAATCGACACGAGATTATTTATAATACAATTTGATATTAAAAAAATGAAATGATGACTCTAAAATTTAATTTAATCTTACAAGTTAGAAAATTTATGAAAAATTTTAAAAAATATTATCAAATATGTTTGATTTATACACTTATGTGAATCAATTTTATCATATAATTAACGAAGAGAGAGAGAGAGAGATTAAACAAAGTTCATTCATTTTATTGATTTTCGTACTGAAAATTAATTATTGTTATCTTTGTCAATCGATTAGAGGTTTGATAAAAAAAAAAAATAATTATAAACACTCTTGATTGGTGACTAATTATCTAATAAGAAAATAAACTTTTTATTTGTATTTTTTTTGCAGTCATTTTTTAATTAATGAAATATCATACCCTTCTGTCAAATTAGTTACGTATTACACAAGACGTTTGAATGCGTTAAATGACAAGATTTTAGTAGATAGATCGAGACACACTTTTCAGAAATAAAGAATCGATCGTATATAAAATAAAGTTGGTCACCCTTGATCTAACTGACGTAATCAACGTTCAACTAGAAAAGAAAATATTTTATTTAGCAAGATATTTTTCCTTTTCATTTTTTTTTTCCGTATCTGTCGTTATTTCTACATTTTGCGTAATCGTGTTCGTTCATACGTCTATTGCCATGTCTATACATTTGCATAGTTCCGCTGATCTTAAGGAATTCAAGAGAATGAAAGAGAATTAGAGGAAAGACTCTGAGAGAAATCAGTAAAATACAATCTACGAATTAGAATTTCTATTGAGTCATATTTTATTATTTAATTTCTCGTAAAGAAAAAGTATTAATAGATTTTTCAGTATATAAAAAATATAAAATATTTTTATCCCTTTGATTAATTTCAATAAAAAGTAATTTACTTGAAAATAAATCAATTTGAATATTTTTAATAATATTTATATATTATATTAAAAAATAATGTAATTAAAATAAGATACGGGGCTTTTAAAATGATAAATACAATTCTGAGTGATAAAAAGAGGCAACGACATTTCTAATATTTTTGTTTAAATATTTCAACATGCGATAATTTTGAAAAAGAAATTTAAAAAAAAGGATTGATAAAGTAATTTCAATGAGTAGGATGATAAGAGTTTTTTTTTATTAGAAATTTAAACTTGTCTAGTCATTATGTGTATTACTAATCTCTACAAATAATAATTATCTAAGATCATCGTTGCAGATAGAATATGATCGTGTGGGTGCCATTTTGCATATTACATTTCAATCTCGTGGTTTTCCTTATTGTACAATACATTTTGTTTACGATCGTGTAATCATGTATGTTGACATTATTTATTTCTATTTAATCTTATCTCATGTAAACAAAATGTCTATTTACAGAGATTTGAATATTTCTAAAATGAGTTTTCTAAAAATTTCAATTAAATAAAAGAGATTTGAAAATGAGTTATAGAAACAATAAAATGATTTTAATAATATTTACTGATTTATTGTATATTTATATGAAAAAATATTAATCGATTTTAATATAACAATTTTAATCCTTAGCAAACATGAAAACGATTAATAATAATTCTTGATTTTATATTATGAAGAAAAATGATTCATTTTATCGCGAATGAATTTTAAACTTCTATAAATCCATATTTTTTCTTCTGTATAAAAAAATAATACACATATATTTAATTAATTAATAATATTTATACATTATCAGTATAATATTATTTTGCAAATGTACATGTAATATATTAACATAATTATCTGTGACGAGGTGGCCGAGTGGTTAAGGCGTTGGACTGCTAATCCAATGTGCTCTGCACGCGTGGGTTCGAATCCCATCCTCGTCGAATTGCATTTTATTTAATTAATAAAATGGGATATTAATAATATATATAATAAACAAATATATATTATTTAATAAAAATATGCTGCTATTTTTATAATTATTATTATTATGGACTAACTATTTTGTATTGAAATATTTAAATAGGTCAATTAAAATTATTAACCTATAATTTACAGATTAATTATTACTCGATGTTAAAAATTATGTTTAAGAGATCTAATAAGCACAAAGATCGATTAAAAAAATTTTACTATCTTTTTAGCGTTTACACAATTTGGAATTTAAATATCGTAAAAAATATTTAGAACAATTTTATCCTAAATATAATAATATTTTAATCTTATTCAGTGATGAGAAAATCAAATGAAATTTTATGAATAGATACTTTTGCCAATTTTCACGATAATAATCTTTTAAAAATGATTACGAATGACGTATGAAAAGGATTGAGTAACTTTTATCGTCACTATGCATCTATAGAAAATGTTTAAATAATCCAAAGATATTTATTCGAGAAGTTGTAAAACATCGACAATCCAATGTTCGACATTTAAAACGCAATGTTGAAATCTTGGAAATCCTTTTAAATGTATGTTGTATATTCATATCATTTTCTTTCTAATATTTTTTCAGCTGTTAGATCATTCGTATATATATTAATACAGAAAAATAGAATTGATTATTATCATCAATGATTGACTATTAATTTTCATTAAAAAATAAAAGGAAAAATTTAGTAGTGAGATGAATATAAACAATTAGATAAATATCTGTTGTATTTTTTTTTTTATAGAAAATTTCATATACAAAAACGTTTATTTTCACGCACGTGATTACAATTTTTTGCAATTAAATAATTAGAATGTAAAAAAATAAAATGAGCTTATTAAGGAATTTATATCAAATATCAGATTATTAAGTTATTCGAACGAATGAAAAATTTCCAGACTAATATTTACTCACATTCGTATCTATGTGTTTGTTTATAATGTTGACTACTCATCATTTAATAAACCCAATGTCTGGAATTGATAAAAAAATTATACTAATAAATCGTATCTCGAAAAAAATGAAAATATACAACGATTAACATTAATTTCTTGTCTCTGTTTTCAAATTTTTTTTTCTCTTTTTATATAATATATATGCGTGTGTGTATATTGTATTATTAATGATAATCGATTATCAAGGAAGCGTTACGCTGGTAAACATCACGTAGATTCTAACTTGTAAATTGCAACGAACTATTACGAACCAAGTGTATTATGCAAATGAATTTAACTTCTGTGTCTGTTATTTAACGATCAGCGTTAAATTTGTATTTTTTCTTTTTGTTTTATAATATACAAAAGTGACCATAATTACATAAGTTGGTTAGTAATTAATAATTTTTAACTGACGAAAGAATGATATGAACTAATTTGTAAATGAAATATAAATTCAAAAATATAAAACTTGTTTAGAAATGTCATAATACGCAAACAAATAAGTTATAACTAAAATTATATAAAAAACTAAAGTTATAAAAAAATAAATAATCATAATACTGTTTAATTATCTTGTTTATAAATTTCTTAATAAAAATTATAAATAAAATTACATAACAACATCAAAGTTATAAAAAAAAAATAAATAATTATGATAAATATGTAAATTATTAATTGTCACGTTTAATGAAAATGTTTATTTTTTTAATAGACATAATTATGAATCAATATATGCAGAAATTATTATTTAAATAGAAAAACTAAAGTTTTCCTTATAGGAATAAAAAAGAAAAAGGAAAAATAAAAAGGTTTTTTTTTTTAGATAATTAAAGATAATTTTTCGGAAATGAAATGTTAAAGTAAACGAAAAAAAAATAGCAATTAGCGTGACGGTTGTAATGATCTGTCACGTCAATCCGTATATAGAGAAAAAACGTATGAGTGTGTTGTGTGAGTTCTAGTTAACGGACTGTCTAGATGATTAAATATGATTGTGGATCAACATGTGGTTTTCCTGTTTTCCCAATTTTATGACTTTCGAAAAAACCTGTTTTTTTCAATTTTTCCACCTAACACATTATTCACACCTAACCACATACACCTTAATCAATTTCACGTATATTCTTTTTTCCTTAAGATTTGCAATCAAATATCATAAATAATTTATTAATACTTTTTTTTTATCGATATGTTTCTTTATACTTTTGTGTGTATGCGAGTAAATGAAAAAAAAAAAAATGAATAAATAAAAAAATATAAAGTTTTTGCTAGAAATTAATAAACGAGTTCTATTTGTGGTTATGACGTTGAATAAATATTATTATTATTATTATTATTATTATTATTATTCAATTTCAAATAGTAGTTAAAAGAAAAAAACATTAAGTGTGTTCGAATTTTTTAGTAATCATATTTTAGTTTGAAAAATTATGCAAATATTGTAACAAACAAGTCAACATTACTTCCATATATTTTAAAAAATTAATAATAATTTATTTATAATATAAATTAATTATATATATATATATTATCAATTTTATTTTAATATCGTATTTTAAACTTTAATACAATAATATAAGAAGAATAACACACAGAGACGAGTGGGAAGTAGGAAATATTTCTAAAAGATAAAATATTTCGGGAATTTTAGGAATAACCTAAGATTACAACTCGAGAAATGTAGTTTTCCTTGAAAAAGATGATTCTTGGTTCTCATGTCAGTTAAACGTTGAATGCACGAGAAAAAGGCGTTGACTTTGTTTTTTGCCTTCAGGCGATTTTACCGAATCTGCACGCTCGTTATTTTTCTCTCTCTCTTTCTTTTTTTGTTCTTTTTTTTTTCTGTCTACACGTAAGTATATATGTGTATAAGTGTGTGTGTGTGTGTGTGTGTATGTATGTAAATATAGATGTTACTTACTTTTGATGATCTGTAAGATTCGAATCCATTAGTTCTGGTATCGAACACCAATGTTCAGCAGGTACCAGTGTTATGAAGAATTGTGCAAAATATAGGAACGCGTATACGAAGGTGAATGGCAATAGAATAAAAAAAAGGAACATTTGATAACGACCGGCTTCTCCAACGTATGGCAAAACGTCGTCGAAGGTTTCAATCTTCGTCGATTCATTGTCGTCTTCTGTCTTTCGTGAATCCACTGCCACCGTCATTTTTCAGTCTGCGAACAATTCAATTAATATATATTATATTCTTTTTATTTATTTAATTATATTTACAAAAAAAAACGTTTACATAATTTTTATTAATTGTATGCTGTAATTTGTTATTTTGTTTAATTTTTTATTAATTTAATTTTCAATTGTGTGAACAGAGATTGAACATCATTGATTTTTTGGATATTTTGTACTAACACTTTTGTGTTATTTTATTAATATCCAAAAAACGTTTACACATATTAATAATATTTTTTTATTTATTGTATGATGTAATTTGTAATTTCTTTTTTTATTCATTTTTAATTTACTTTTCAATTGAATAGAAATGCATCGTTGATTTTTTGGATATTTTGTATTAACATCTTTGTGTTATTTTATTAATCTAAACCAAGTTTAGATTAATTGTGATGATTCAGTCGTTATTTTGTATAATTAATTTTTTCCTGAAATGTTTTTTATTTAAATCATTTTCATTTTTAATTTTTTTTTTCAACCACGAATTCAGCCCTCTCATTAAATAATTCAAAATATATCACATTTGTTTAGTTTTAAGCTCTCGTATAATTATTTATTTATTTAATATAATGAAATCCAAAATTTTATTTGATTACAAAAATGATAGAATTTTCGAAGATTATGATAAAGATTTAAGAAAAATTTTGTTTAATAATTTTGGTGACACAAGATTGTGAAAGAGGATAATAAAAATCGTTGCAGATAAATGTAACTATAAATAGAATAGGGTAATAAAAATAATTTCAGTTATATTTGATTATAAAACACGGTAATAAGGAAACGTCATTGCGTTTGGGTTTATATTATTTGAGATAGCGATAAGATAATAATCATCTTATCTTTATTTCTTTAATGAAAATCATTGTTTCGCAATATTAACTTATATTCTAATTAATTCACGTAAATTTTATTCACGATTTTTAATTGTCTTTGCTATTACGAATAATTGAACGAGAAGATAAAAAATTAATTATTTTTATTTACTTTTCTTTTTTTTTATTATTAAAAATCTTTATATAATTAAATTGAAATTAAAAACAACAAAATAATGCATTTTAAAAAGACGGTACTTTTTTTGGGTTTGACAATAAATAATAAAAAATAATTTAAAACATTATATACGTAAATAATAAATAGATTATAGCAATTGGTTGCATTTAATAATAAAATATTGATTCAGTTCAAAAAACCTTGTAATTTCCAATTGAAAAATGATCAAATACAATTTGTACTCATTTAAATATAAAATATTAAAAATTTCTATCAAATATTGATTGATCAATGAAATAAATTCAATAATAAAAATACGAAATTGGTCGAAAATTTAGATGCTCGGATGATAACAAAGATAAAAGTTACAAATAGAAATGAAAAGAAATGTCTACGATCTAAGATAAAATTTTAGAAAAAAAAAAAAAATATAAAAAGCCAAATTTAATAAGTTAAAAGAAAAGGACAAATTGTGATGAAAGTTAAACGTTTTGATGACCAAGAGATTAGAGAAATTAAAAAAAGGAAAAAAAAGATAAAAAACATTGACACGTGTCATGTATCAAGTTAGTTTCGTCGATTGTGGTTTATTAATCGTCAGGGTGGCATCGTTCTCGTTTCACATAAGAAAATAGACGAAAGTTAATTGAACGAGAATTAAGACGAATTAAAGTGAGACACGTCTTTTAATTCGAGTGTTTGCACGCATGCACTCACCCACATACGTGTACAATTAGTTATTGCGTTATATGTGTGTAAGGTAAGTAATAAAAAACGTTAGACATCTAACACGCGAAATCTGATTTAAAAACCCGCTTATCTTGAAGTTAAAGTGACGTTCAAGGTAATCATCTTTATTTTCTTCTTTTTTTTTTTTTTAACGATGAATGAAATCATTTAATCATCGTAACGCGTTTTACAAAAGTTTATTATAATAAATGATAAGTGAAAATAAATTATGAATGTTTACGTATTTTGGATAAATATTAAGAAAGAAATAAAAAAATATAAAATCGAGACTAACTTAACAATATTAATTAATCAAAATGTCGGAAACAATTTGTAAATTGTTGATCGGATCTGTCAATTTTATCAATCAAAGGTGCATGTGTGTTTGTGACACGAATATCAATTTATTTTAATAATAAAAAAGATCAGTATTTAATGATAATAATTTTATGTCAACGTCATTTTTATCTTTTAATGAGGTCAAAATACTGTGAATTGAGCAAATATCTATTTAGCTATTTACATCTTTAGTTAAAACATGTTTCTAATTACATAGTATAATGTTTAAATCGTAATCTTGAATGATTAATTGAGAAAACAATTATAACCCGACCATAACTCATTTTAATCGATTGAAGAATCTATTAATTCGATCGATATAACAATCTTATCTTTTGAATGAAACGCATCAAAATTTGTCGAGAGATTGCAATGAAATAAAATTAAAAAAAAAAGATATGAAAATAAAATATTTAAATAATATATATTAATTATTTTTATAATATAAAAAATAATATATATATAATATATAATTACTTAATAAATATAATATAATTATTAAAATAATAAAATTATTTAAATAATTATTCACATTTTCGTTATAATTTTTATTGTCATTTTTTGTGTAATTAATTTGTTTCGAATAGAAAATTACTATGATCAAATTGATGACACAAAGAAACATATTATATTTATAAAATGATATTTATCTATTTATCTATTTCCATCTTTTTCTTTTTTACTAACGTTTCGCCGTGGTCATGGACGAGAGGGATATGAATCTTTCATAAAGTACTTATTTACAATCTATGTATTTATTACTGCAATGGTTAATTGGCACGTCTTGTTATAGATCGCGCGTGAAACGGATAAAAAATAAGATTAAAAAAAAAAAAAGAAAAAAGAAACAGGAAGCAATGAAACTGCGTTACGCAACGATATTAATTGTTTTTTCAAATTGTTCGAGATTATTCTTTAATAGTTCATTCGTCAAGTTTTTGTATATTTATATATTTCAATTATTAATAATATATTTTTTCTTTCAATTATTACTATTATTAATTGTTAAAAAAAAAAAAAATAATATGCATGCGAGTTTTTTTGCCATTAAAATGCTTCATTAAATTCTAATTTCAATTTTGTATTTTAAAAATTAACATTTCTTCTTTTTCTTCTCATTATTATTATTATAGTTTTTTAAGTGATGAAAATAATCTTAACAGTTGGTTTCTTTTCTTAAATCGAAAATCAAAGTATAATTATCGTATAATAGTTTATTTTCACGGTTCGTTCATTTATTTTCGTATCTCACTTTAAATTATAGATTTTAATATTTGATATCTCCACTTTTATCTGTTATCTTATTTTTTTTGAATTACAATTAATTGATAAAATCATAATTTCCGTTTCTGTATTTAAATTAAAAAGTGATATTCATTTTTTATGATAAACTGTCTTGAGAGTTACTTAATAAACATTTCGATAAGATAGATCATTTATTTCTTATTACTAAACACAACAAGTGTTTTTTTTAATAGAATAAAACAATGTAATGTGTTACTCATAGTTTTAGTTCTCACTTTCTTCTCACCCATTCCATTCTCATTTGTAAACAATCTCAACAATTTATATAGTTCTATCTCTTTCTTATATTTAATCTTCGTCAGTAAGTGGCAAGGACAACAAATTGAAGGATCCTTTTATTCAATTCTATTGTAAGACTTTTTTTTTTATGAAATAAGCAGATCGATCACCAAAGATAATTATCGTGGAGAACAATTAAAATAACTTAGTTGTAAACGATTACAATTACGGTTTACACCAGACTAACGGAATTTTTTTACAAGAATGCGGATAAATTTATTAATCAGATTCCATTTAGTTTCGATAACTTTGTTCAATGTTCAAATGTGTTGTTGCAATTTTTATACAGGACCGTATTTTACACATTCTTAGAAATCTTAAATTGAAATTCATTTTATCTTGCACAAATCATTTTTATCTTAACTTATTAAATTAATTGTATCTTAACAAAATCACAATAAATTTATTTTAATTTATTTAATATATTTTTTTTTTGTAAAGGTATTTATAAACGTTTTATATTATTGTTATAAATAAAATGAAATTTTGTGAATAAAGATGATCCCCAAATTGAGATTCATTGTAGTTGATACGGTCCTGACAATATATCACAGCATACAAGTCCTAAGGAAGAGTCCTTTATTTCCTCTTTTAAACAAGATCCAACTATTAATTGACTTTAAGTTTTATCTCTTCTCTTTTATGCTTGCGAATTTAGTTAACGTCTCACGTTTCTTTAACACGTCATCTTGAGATGAAGACAAATAAGTGAATTCGAATGAGACGTTGATCGGTATCGAAGTATCAATCTTTTACGTTTGCCGTTGAAAAAAAAAAAAAAAGAATAAAAAATTATTACTATACAAACGTAATTTTATCGATTTGTAAAATAGAAAAAAAAATAAAAAATAAATTATAATATTTTATTTTAAATCCCAAAATAGAAAACGGTATCCAATATATGAATTGTTTTTTTCTTCTCTCGATAGAAATTATATTATAATAATTCTTTTATCGATTATGTAAGATAATAAGGAATCTCACACACAAACACACACACACACACACACACACACACACAAAATTCTTACTAGAACGAGTTACCTTTTTTTTTTATTTAATATTCACGTTAATAATATATCTTCTTTCATTAATATTAATAAATTTCAATTTTTGATAGGGGGGAGAAGTTTGCGAATGATCCTACGATAAAATGATTCGTCCTTGTACAAATACCATCGAATTTTTAACCAATAAGTTGATAGAACTTTTAGCAATGATTCAATATTTATTAAATTAATTTAATCGATACTTTCATTTTTTTTCTTCTTCTTCTTCTCAATCATCTCTTTCCTTCTACTTTTATCTCTGTTTCTTTTTTTTTATTCATATTTTTTCATCTCTTACTTTAGTTTTTTATTCATGAAACTTTTTGTTCTTTGTGTTTTAAACTCGAGACTCAGAACGTTATTACATAACGAATATAATTATTGGATTTTGCAAACGTTTTTGATGGGACCCTATGATAATCCGTAAAATTATTTATTCAAGCGTATCATTCTGCTCGAAATAATAACAATTAATAACAAAAAAATCATCTATTCACGTTCACTTGGTAGAATAATACAAAAAATGTGCTTTCCGGAAGTACAATAAAAGTGTATTTGTTTCTCCATATGTGTATATGTGTGTTTGTATAGGTGTATGTGTAAATGGAAACGTAAAACAAAGTGATATTTCAACAGTTAGCTATTCGACGAAAGAAAGGTTGATTTTATTTTCAAGGTAACTTAGACTCTTCCTTGAGTAGAGTAACACCTGCTATAATATTCAATTATTAATTATTCATATATCTATTTTAACATTTTGTTAAAATCAAATATTCATTTAACCTACTTACAATTAAAATTCTGCTCATTGATTTATGAAATTGAATGAGTTTGTAGATTCATAAAATAAAATTTCATTAATAATTAATCGAATTTATAATAAATCTTTTTTATTTTTTATTTTCCCAGTTTTAATTTTAATAAACGCGGCCTACTTGTCGGGGTACTGTTTTCTTTTTTTTTTTTTTGATGATGAAACATATAGTTAGAATAATTTAGAAAATATAATTTCACGATGAATGAATCTCGTGTAAACTTGATACATTTTATTGTAAAATGTGACATTAATTAAACAGAACGTTGTATAATCAATAAAGTTACCTAAACAAAGAAACACTAGTGTAGGAAGTGTTATAAAAAATAAATAATGAAAATAAAAAAAAATAAAAATAAAAGTAAAAAAAAAAAATAAAAAGCAAATCATTATTAGAAAGAAACAAATATTTCCTTGTTCTTTTTTTAAACACTAACTATTTAACATACTACTTGGAAGGGAAAATAGATTACTTTAAAAAAAAGAAAAAAATAACAAAAAAAAAAAAAAAAAGATAGAGAGAAAAGAAGTAGAAGAATAAAATAAAATAATAAACGAGAGAAGTGAAGAATGAAATGACTCATGTTGAAAATACACACAGTCATAGATACATTTTTCGCGAACACGTTAGCCTTTCTATTAACAGCAACAATATAGCATTAACAGATTATATTTAATTCAACTAAACACATATTTGAAATATTCCTAATTCTCTTTGTCCTCTCTTCCTTCCTTTCAACTCCTAATTTTTTTCTTTTTAACACGTTTATATGTTAATTCATACAATGTAATAAACAAAGAATGTTAATACCTAGGTATAATATATTATTATAGTGATTTATAGAAGTATTGACATTTCCTTTTAATTCAATGTTTTCACAAATTATTTTACAAATGAACAATATATTTATTTAAAAAAAAATTATAATTTAAAGTGAATTATATAATAGAATTGATTGATACCAAATTAATACCAATTTTTCAATCATTTATATTAAATGATATTTATATCAAAATAAAATATTCTTTTAGAATCAAATTAATATCCATTTGAAAGTTTAATTAAATGTTAAAATATGTTTGTGTGTATATAATAAATATGAAACTTCGTATTTATATATATATATATNTATATATATATATATATATATATATATATATATATATATATATATAGAAAGCAAATATAAATTATTTCAAATTTAAAATATAGACAGGAAAGGGGAAATATAGGGTACGAATATTCCTGTGAATCATTGTAAATATATGTTGACAAAGGTGTATTAATTAAATATGGATTTATAAATATATATATATAAGTGATATTATCTTGTATTAATCATAAAAGAATAAAATCTCGTTTCAAGGTAAAACTTCGTAATTTTACGTGATCATGGAAAACGTATACAAGTGTGTATAAACTTTAATAGTCTATTTCAATATCCTATTATATTTGAACGATATGTTAGAAATATGTAAACACACATTAATAATACATAACGTACTAATATAAAAAAAATGTTATATTTAAATGTAGAAGACAATAAATAGTCTATGTTGGTTTCAAGGTAATGATTTGTCGTATCATTTCTATCACGTTTAAATTATTATGTAGATAAAATGTCAAACGTCATTTTTTTAATTATACCATTCGAAAAACTTCTACTATTTCCTTGTACATCTTTCTTTCTTTTTCTTTTTTCCTTTTTTATTAAACAATATTAAATGTTTAACTTCAAGTTACGAACAAAGCACATTTTTTCGTATTCAAATGAATTGAAAGCATTTTGTTTTATTTCTAAATAAAGATCAATGAAAACTGTTTTCATTTACTAGTGAAAAATCTCGAATATTAGTAAACAATCTTTTTTTTTTTGATCGAAGAAAATATTACTGAAAGGATAAAACCAAAATCATTCATCTCGGAATGTAGTTTAAACAATTTTTTCTAAATTATTTGTACAGTAAACATAAAAAATAGAAACAATAAATAACTCAGAGAAAAAAAGTATCGAAAAAAGTTAGGACAAGGAAAAACATTTTTCGTATCTATGGGAAATTTTTCCCATTATTCACATTTGTTTAGATAAGATCTATGATATGATTCTGTACACAAGACTTAAATCAGAAAAAGGGAATAAACGTCAGGGAGTAACTATTGTAGTCGATCGGAATGTACGGAATAGCACGAGGGGACCTTGGGAAGATATACCTGGGATTAAGAACCGGTTCAAGGACGAACGAATGGATGGGTAGTAGTTTGCAGTGTCGAAAAGTTCGACAAGATAGAAAATATTATATGTTTACCTGTTTGAATATACGTTTTACGATGAATCTCCCGATATAAATTTCTATATATATATTTCTTTTTTCTTTATGTTTTTTTCTTCCCTTTTTTCTTTTTTCCCTGTCGATATGAATATATATAGTCTCGTTATATTATCGTTGTTTATCACTCGGTTTTTTAGTTCGCGTGTATTATAGGTAAAAAAAAAACTTTCCCGTAACAATAATAATAATAATAATAATTATTATTATTAAATTATTATTTTTAATATATGTCACACTTTATACATGAAATCTTGTAGCACACGAATTTTATTTCTTTCTTCTCCGACAGTATTGAAGATGAAATAACAAATTGAGTTTGTAGACCCAAAAAGGAAAGAAAACAAGAAAGTTTTTTCTAATATAAAATAAATATTAGTATAATTGTTATAACACAAAAAAAAACGTGTTCCCGTGTTGTGCGACTTTTCGGTAAACGCTACATCGCCGTGTGTACTATCGCGTCGTCGAAACACGTTGTGTGTTACAGACTGTTCCATTCGAGAGCCATTGGTGGGGCTTTATAGTCTTAGTGACGGTACAGGATTTCCCCACCACCCAGGACCATCAGATAACTTTACTTACACCCGCTCAAGAGACGTTCCTCCCTGCGAAAGGCTCACCAACAAACAAACCAAGTCTTCTCAACACTGAAGTTAATGGTCTCTCTGTTAGTCTCTCTCTCTTATCTATATACATACACTTGTATTCTAGTTGCATTTGTAGTAGTAGTAGTAGTAGTAGTATTACTACCACTAACTAGTATTTATCGTTTGAAACGACGTCGTCGTGTTACGTTTTGTGTCGTCAACGTTTGCTGCTACGACTTTCAGTGACGTCAACGGTGAACAAGTTGCGGGAAATTTTATGACACTTTTCTTTCCTCTTCTCTTCGTCTATCACCTGTAATCTTTCTATTTCAATTGTAACAAAAAATTATTCTATCTATTTACCTGTGTTAACATCTATTTTCTAAATTTTCTTTAATAAACCTAGGAAAATCGTTTAACGTTGTCCGTAATCGTAACGTCATCCATTTTTTTTCTTATTGGTTTTATCATTTCTTGTTTTTGTTTTATTATTATTTCAAACCCGTTTCCTTTTTCTTTTTTTTTCTATCTTTGAATTTTATTGAGACTTGACTTCTTCCTACGTCATCGTCTTTCCGATTAAAATGACGACCTTCTCTTCATTTTCCTTTCATTTTTTCTTCTTCTTCCTACTCCTCTTCTTCTTCTTCTTCTTCTGCTGCTACTGCTTCTTCTTCTTTTTTTTTCTTGTTCTGGTGAAAAAAGATCAGGGGAATGCTCGCGGTCGGTTTAGATTTCTCTCGAAGATGATGGATTTTGTGGTAAAACATTTATTACGAACGCGTAAAGATGCTAAAGTTATTCTCAACGAAGTCATAAATAATAATAATAATATTATTATTATTATTATTTATTTATTTTAATATTGAGTAGCAATAAATTATTTAAAACTAGTCATACCTATTTAGATCTTTATTCTTATGATTTGTAGGTTCTGTTCACTTTTTAAATGATACATTTTTAAATAAATAATAATAATATGATTTCTTCAATAATATTTCAAATATTTATACTTTCTACAAATAATAGAATAAATTTATTTGAAATAGAATAAATATTAAAAACTTTCGTAATAAATTTCCATTAGAAATCAGGATGATAATGTTAACAGGTCGCATTTGACGTAAAAACTAAACACGAATAAAAATTTCATCGAGAGTACTACTAGTTACATTTACGTAAAAGAAAAACAACATCAGTCAGCTTGCTATGTAGTTCGAACTCGGACTTTCCTGGTAGCTTTGAGAGTTGGGAATGCTTTACTTTCCAAGCATCCTCAGGCAATAATCAGAAAAGTCTTTTTTTCAGAGAATAATTAAATATAGTGATTCCCAATCGTTGAATATTTATTTATTCTTGAACACCTAACATAAATCCTGTTTATTAAAACACATATATCATTATTAATGTTAATATTTATTCTTTGATTTTTCGTATTCAAAATTATGAAATAAATGAATAAATAAATAAATAAAAAATACAAAATAACAAATAAATATATATATACGCATGTTGATATTTATGAAAATACGAGTAGATTAAAAAATCGTACGATCAACAGTGACCTTGGATAACTCGATAATCATTCGAAACAACGGCTTATTCAATTTGTCATACTATTCTAGCAAAACTAATTATAATATACGTTAGTAAGTAAGTAGTTAAAAAACAAAAAGAAAAAAAAATCTTTTTCCAGTTTCCAGTTTCCAGTTTCTATTTTATCCATTTACCGATAAAGGAAACCAATGTAGAATAAACGCCATTGCAGTCGATCCGTTCCAAGAATTAGAACAATAGCCTCGAGCATTTCAAATCGATGAATATAACTAATAATCCTCGCGTGTAATGAACAATATTGTTTGTAAACTCTTTTATTAATAATTATCGTCAAAGAGTGATTCCAAACTCATTAACGTTATCCGCATTATCGAGCATCAATTTGATCTGTTATTAATTTTCATTTACATTATTCTTAACATTCTTTTATTTCTAAACGTAAAAATTGTACGAAGGACGTAATAACAAATAAATTGTTGTTTAATTATTTTAATTAATTTATCCATTGATCATCGTTCGTACGAACGTATGCACGTTTATCTTGTGTTGTGTTGTGTGTGCATGTTTGTATGCATGTATATTTATGGATTGCTTATTTGATCAAGCGTGACAAAGCAACAATTGAAAGATTGGAAGTCTTTGTATTTTTTTTCATTTATTGTTCTAGACTTATAAATTATGAGTTTGATGATTAAAATAGTCGTTTATGTGCATTGAGATTAAATCACGTAAGACGATAAGATTTCATCCAGCTACCATTTCGATGTTTATCGTATTGAAAGAGTTAAAGGCCTGTCGAAGGACAAGGTATTATGCAAATTTAAAATAAACATTCTATTGCAAAAAGTTAAGGACAATGTACTGAGTATAATGTGTGGTAATATAAGAATTTAAAATAAGGCATTGATATCACTTTAACTTGATTTATATACTATTGGTATTACGTCTATTTACTGTTTTTGATTATGCCATTTTCATTTCTGATGCAATGGTAAAAAAATATTACTTAAGGGATCGTAACGAAAGAAAGTTTTATATGAAGTGTTTTTTAATAGAATATATATATATATATATATATATATATATAGGATATTAAACATATATTGTTATCGTTATTATTATTATTATTATTAATATTATATATATCATATATTATATTAATTATTAATTATATTATATTTAATACATATTATATAATATATATTGAATTAGAGATATATATATATATATATATATATATATATATATATATATATAGATAGATATACATATATAATTATAGATATAATTAATTTAATTGTATTTTAATAATAAATATATGATATATATTTTCTAAATAAAAAAGATATTTATATCACATATTAAATTAAATAAAAATATTCTAAATATGTAATAAATAGTATAAATATATAATATAATAATAATGAATATGTATATAGTAAAAAATAATATAATAAATTTGTCATTATTCGTTTGATAAATAAAATATCTATAATGTGTAACAATAGTTATGTGTAAAATTAGTCAGTAATAGAAAGATATATAAATAAATATATATTTTATTAATTATTTAGTTTATTCACATAGAAGAATCCAAAGCAGATTTGATGGGGAATGATATAGGTTAAGTGAGTATCATGTTACATTGGCAAGTGTTAAACAGTGAAAAACGTCAAAGCTATTAACAAGTGTGTATTGAGTTATAGTTCTTTTATTGATACCATAAATTATAATGGACGTGTTTGGCTTCCTATCGTATTATTGATTACTCTCGTGACCATTTCTTTTCTCTTTCTTTCTCTCTTCATCTAAATAAAAGTCATCGAGAACCCTATTCATATTTTCGATCGATCATACGAATTGACAGGGGACAAACGGATTCGTTTAAAACTTACTAATACACACACACATACACAAATATTTATACATCCTTCAAAAATTGCATTTCAATATTCTATCATAACGAATACATGCTCGTTTTATTTTTCATAAAGACAATCGATAAGAAAATTGACCCTTTTAAATGAATTCAACAGGTTTTTCCAGTTATCAGAGATACTCATGGTTTCATCTTTCAAAGTTAGTATATTTGTTATACTATACTAAACATTCTCAAAGATCAAAAAAATCAACTCAAACAAGAATTTCATGTTCACTTTTAATGTCAACGATCCTGTCTTTTGTAATTGTCATAAATACATTTGTTTTTTATTGGATCATATCAATATTATGATCTGTGTTAGATTATTTACTAAAATTAGACGTATCATACTTTTAAATTAAAAAATATAAACAAATTATCATTTTGGATTCTTGATTTGCACTAATTATAATAATAATTATAATAATAAGATTATTATATCAAATTTTTCCCTATTATTTTTAAACGGTAGTATAATATCACTTATAATATTATTTATATGTAATAAATGTGGTCTTTGGTTAAAATAAAATATAAGATATTATTATTATTAGTATAAAAATTTATCAGTATTTAAAAAATTTTATAAATAATAATGTGATTTGTTTGACCTAATCATAATTTAATTTAATGAATTGAAAAAATATAATTTATGCAACACTATATAACATTAATTTTAATAAAAATATTCAATAAGTAAATTTATTTCTCTTATTTGTAAGAACGTAAATTTGATAAATATGATTTTTCATGATTAATAAATTTACAAAAGTAATTAAACGTAACAAATTTTAAAGAATGAAATAAAAAAATTTAATTCCCATTATTTGTATAATGTAAGTAAATATTAAAAAAAAAAAAAAAACCGATAATTTAAAGAAAACAATTAACCAATAGTGTTCAAATATAATTAAAATTTACTTTTCATTAAAAAAGTAATAACAAGAAAATCTGATTATTCGAATATATAGAATGAAAAAATGATCTTTCTAAGAAAATATATTTATGTAGTTTAGAAAACAATTTCAATGTATGGTGTTTTATATTATTTTGTATTCGTATTCGAATAATTACTAATTCAATTGGAAAGAATGATTCATCAATTTGTATTTAATCCCGTACTCGATATTTGTAAAGCTTCATTGAACGATAAATTTCGTTCTATGCATAAAATCTTGTGGTTTTAATATTGCACGTGTTATATGTTTGCATATACAGAAAACAAACGTAAACTTACTATAGTTTAAACGTGTTGAATATATTTTGAAAT